GAGAGTTCTCCGTACACTGTCACACGTCCGGAAGTCTGAGAATACAAAGAACGTATGATGTTCACAAACTTCCGGGGTATTCCTTGGTGGGCAAGTGTCTCAAGAAGAACAGACCGATCAACCGAGTCGAATTCGCCTCGGAAATCCAGGAATACTAGAATCGTGGGTCGCTTATACGTATAGCGTTTTTCTAGCACCTGACGCAGTGTGAAGATTTGGTCCTCTGAAGCTCGCTACCTAATTTAACTTGGGTCATAGGGATCGCTTTGCTCCGTAAACACGACCCAACACTAGAAAACACTAGTCATTATCAGCACAGACAGATTAACGTTATTGTTCAACCACTGAGCTCTCTCTAGCTCAGCGGTCAGGGCACGAAGGTATTGAGCGGAAGGTCGGTGATTCGAACCCGACCTCCGAATCTCGAATTCCCCTGTCTAGGCTTAAGCAACCTGGCAGTATCCCAACCCTAGTGCTTCCTTGGGGTGGCACGGCAGTTAGACACCGAAAGGGTGTCACAGCTGAACGATTATATATATATATATATATANACTATCATGTTATGATCATCAGTTCCCCGCCGGTCCAAACCTTCAGCACAAGCGCTCTCGTCGATTGATTTGGAGGCCACCAATCGCAAGGCAACCATGGATTCAACTGCATCATGTGGCCATCAGTTACCGATGAAAAGCCTCAAGTAAAGAGTACCGTTCTCTCCAGGGTAGGCAACTTGACTCCGATCATTCCATTGTGCGGACCTAGCCATCACTTCGTTTTTCGCAACCCTTACGCGTGCCAAAGCAAAGCGATTCCGTTCATCAACTTCGACAACTCTCAGTAGCTCAAGAGTATCGAACTGATCTGGCTAGAAAGCTATCGCGAACACATCCATGCGGATGACGAAAATCGCTCAGAGGTTGAACGGAAACATCATCATCATCATCAAGGACGGTATGCCATCAGTGTTCAACACTGATGCTTTACTGCCGTCACAAAATTACCAATCCGATTCACCCAATGCTCCGGAGTCAAAGAAGGTCCTTTCCTGAAGTCTGGTACACACGGCCGTTGAGATCAAGTAACATAATGCCACAGGTGAGGCAAATCAGCAAACGTGATTCGGACCTTTGGGATTTATACGCTGAATTCATTGATACACTTCCGCCAGGACATTAAAACTACCGAGGTGCGGAAAATTTTTCACAACCTCCGATCAATCACCCTGAATTGTAAGGATTATTTTCATTGACTGAACGCTCTGAAGCATGACAGTGCAAGTTGAAGGTGCTAGGCTCGTGCACAGAGATGGTATGACGGTGATCAGCTTATTCAACAGGCCTCGTGCGTCACCTTCGTTTTCAAGATGAGTGCGATGTGATCTACGTACTTCATATTGACAAGGTTCTCATCATCAACATCTTAGACAGGGGGGATTGGAAGAGCTCCCAGTGTTCACCTCACTGTTTCCTCCATGACAAAGTTGAATGAACAGGAGTTGAAGGAGTGGACATCATTTCGAGACACGGCTTTTCGTAGAAAAGCTTTTAGAATGGTCACCACGCACTCTTGCACGCCCGTAAGTATGTCAATATAGGGGCCGGGATAACCCCTTTCCGAATACCCCGACTTTAAAGTCCACTGTCAGTCCTGTACTTACGTACCAATCTATCAGCTTCCGCTTCTAATGCGCAGCTACCTATCCGACTTGCCCAAATCATCGGTGGACGAAACTGTGGCAACTGTAACGAGGCAGCCTCTACCTGGTCGAAATCCCACTTGATGTTAAGGGGTCAAGGTTTTGCGTGCCACTGTAAGATGATGAAGAATCCGTGACACCGGGCGCCTTGTTACAAAGGCAGACAAACTAGCGTCCCTGTGGTTACTACGTCCACTGTGAGTATCCTTTTTGAAAATGGATACTATTACCGACTCACTCAAATTAGCTAGGACGGTTTCTTTAACCCAGATAGACCCAAGTAAGCTAGACAGTCAGTGGCTGAGGAATCCATTGACATTATTGAGCAGAGCAGGTGGAAGGTCATCAGGACCAGGAGCACGATGACACAAGGGTAGACATACACTCGGGCAACTCTGAGGTTAAAGGCAGCTCTATATTTACAGACCACCAATGTGGTGAAGGCTGGTAGTCCGGATTGGAGGTAGCAGGTGGCCGGCTGAGTTGTCATTCGAAGTAGTGCGCCCAGCAATCCAAATGTTCGCCTAGGCAGGCTGGATATCAGAGAGCTGTTCCGGTCCCGTTTCTCTGATGAGTTGTCATTCGAAGCAGTGCGCCCAGCAATCCAAATGTTCGCCTAGGCTGGATATCAGAGAGCTGTTCCGATACCTGATAGTTTCTCTGACAGTAGGCACCGGAGGGCCACTCAAACGCATCAAGTAGAACAGTATGCGGATGTTTCCAGCATTTTTCGCATCTTTTCTTTCTCCGGCCTTTTCGATCCACCACGGACACTAAGTTTCACCTAGTGTCGAACGATGCACCCAGTTGAGTTGTCGTTGCGGTTAGGAAGGACATATCGCCGGGCCTCCAGCGAAGCCACAGTCCCATCAGAGATCCAATCTTTGGATGAGGGTGGCTGGATCGTACCAGTTTCGGCTTCTAGCAAAGTTTTAGATTTCTATTTCCAGTGGCCGTTTATATCCGATATTGGTTAGCCGACAGGCATTCGAGAAACCAGTTCTGATAAGTTTGTCTGATCTACGGTTCCAATAACTAAGCAAGGTGTGCGCGTTTTGCGTAAAAACGCAATGAAAAGCAGCAGTGCACAAGTAAATGGTCGGGGGCGGGGCAGAAGGATCGACAGGCATTGATAGACCCTCGTCACCGGTAAGTGACGGCGATGAGGTATACTTGGATTCAAGACTGGTTTGTTGGTGGGCACCACGTTATGAGATTTCCACTGAAAGTCGCAGAAGTTGATGCTGCAAAGGAACAGTCTGTGATCGACACACATTTCAAGCAAGCGCCCTCCGTCGCCCGTGCGTCTGGTGTCCAACCCAAAACGACCACCCAATTCAGCCTCAGTTGCCCGTAGCCTGTCTACCGGAGCGTTAATGTAACAACAACCACAGCAATGTCTGGGCTTTTGGCCCGTTGTAGAAAACC